CTAAAGCTGCTTCTTTTCTTAAAGCCTTTCAAGTGATTAAATGAGGCCCACCCACCATATCAAGGACAATCTTTACTTAAATTGAAGTGATTGTCAGTGTAAAACCACATCTACAAAATGCTTTCACAGCAATACCTAGATTAGTGTTTGATTGAATAACTGAGCACTAAAGGCTAGCCACCTTGACACATAAAACTATCACATCAGAAAACTTCCCCGGACTTGAAATTCCAATTATTATCACTTGAGGAAACTTTTTCCTTTAAGACTTAATTTTTCAAGGAAAAAAAGGAATTACTAAAGAAATGATGCATTTTAAAAATTATATTACAAAAGAGGTTTTTCTCATTTTCTTCTAATTCCTTTGCAAATCTCGGTTAATCATAGCATTATCTCAGGGTGTTTAAGCCACCACAGCCACATTGAGACTGAAGAGCTAAAAAGTGGCTGTACTGCTTTAAGTGACGCCTGCAGCTCAACTCCCAGGCGGAGTCATTTCCTGCCCTGTGATAAAGCTCACCTGGGCATACTCTGTCACTCATTACCAGGGGGCACCTTCAACTCAGCATGGTAAGTGACTACTGTGCTTGTACATTGTAGACAGTGTTGCTTTGGTGTTGTAGAACATTTTACTCATCAAACTTGGCCCTCTTCCCTTCCAAGAAATTTTTAATAAATTCTTCATATGAGAGAATACATTTTTAAAGAACCATTGTTTCTCTTAACATCTCTGTTTGAAGCTGATTTGAATAAGCTCTCCTCTTTTCAGCTTTAGTTTTGCTGCTTTTAGCAAAAGCATAGTTGATTTTCAGGTGTTTATTGCCTTTAACTGAAGTGCTGAAGCAAGAACCTCTCCTTCCTTTAGTTTTTACATTGGTTTTAGACCTGGTGTGCTGATTTTTTTCTGTATAAATCAATTGCTTCACTTCCAAATATGGTTTTAGAGTTTCTGGGGACCTCAGACCCAGGTTACCATTGTTAATCTCATAAACTGACAGGTAAAGTGCAAGGACATCTTTGTTCTCTCTTGAGTTTAGTCCTTTGGGGACCACCCTTTAAGATTCACTTTCTTTCTTTTTTAAAAAAATATATTTTTATTGATTTCAGAGAGGAAAGGACAGGGAGAGACAGAAACATCAATGATGAGAGAGAATCGTTGATTGACTGCCTCCTGCACATCCCTCACTGGGGATCGAGCCCACAACCCAGGCATGTGCCCTTGACCAGAATCGAACCCGGGACCTTTCAGTCTGCAGGCCAACACTCTATCCACTGAGCTAAACTGTCTAGGGCCACTTTCCCTTTAATCGCTATGTACCAGTCACAGTAATTTTTAGTATCTCAGCATTTTTAATTCTTAAGTGGAAGCAACCTTTCAAATTGCTTTTTCATCTTTGACTTTCTCACCCCATGGAACTCTGTCTAACATTTCTAGGACATTTAGATTGTTTTTCTCTTAAAAATGATGCCTTCCTATATGAAAGATCCTCATGGTAATGGAAATGGTGTGTCTTGGCTATATTGATTCATATTCTGGTCATGGTATTTACTATAATCTTGCAAGATATTTCCATTGGTGAAATGGGTAAAGCATACAGGAGATCTCTGTATTATTTCTTGTAACCACATATTAACCTGCTGTGATTTACCAATATTGATATTTAATTGGCATTTTGCAATATTTTATTATTTTATAGTTTGGTTAATATTTTAACAGATGGCTTGGGAAGGAGGGGAAGGCCAAGAGAAGAATAAAGTGAAAATAACATTCTGTACCCTGGGACACAGTTATGTTATAGACTCAGCTGCTTCTCAAACCAGTAAAGACAAGATTGGCCCTTGTTGGGCCTAGTATTCCTGCTGAATTAAAAAAAAACAACTGTATCACTCCTATGTCTTAACCACTTGCGTAACAGGCCACATAGCAATTGTTTTTTTATGTTGGTGATTTTTTTTGGATCTAAATATTGTGAGCAAATATCACATGTGCATCCCATGGGGACTGGGTGATCAATAGCTGAGAAAGGATGTTGTGAGAGAAATCTACATGTAAGTGGTTTTCATGATGTAGAAGTGTGAGCCTCCCCCCTTTTACATTTTTACCTAAATATAGGAATTTAGATGAGTCTTGATCTGGTTACAGCAGCTATTATACTGAGATAATTTTTAGTCCAACAGGAGTAGAAGAGGCTGTTTATGGTAGAATGTGTTGTTTTGATTTTTATGTGCCCAAGAGTTTGGAATATTGGTTGGTACTAATTGAAGAGCTTTCTAAATTGAGTTCACAGCCTTTGTTGGGAGAGACTGATACTTGCATAGAGAAGAAACAAGAGGGAAGTACTCAAGTAGTGAGCTTGAATTCCTCATAAAGCAAAAAAGGGCTGTGTTATGTCTTGTGAGTCAAGGAGACAAAGTGCAAAGTTTGATGTGCTGAGTGAGAACAGAGTGCAAGTCAGATTGCAGGGATGTGACCTCCCTCCCTCTGACAAGAGGTCTTTTTGTAGTTGAACCTCAGATCTTGGGAAAGGACAACCCTGGACAGGGGCAGGGTTGCCTATCAGCTTATCAGGCAAACAACTTGAAGGGCCCCACTGGTACAAAAGACAGGCTTCTCCCTTATATGACCACTACTTAGACTTGGCCCATGACTACTGGCAATCAAAACTCAACTATATTAAAATCAGCAATTGCTATCACTTCAGATTTTTAGGATTAAGTTTTTCTTTTCCTCTCTTAGATGAATAGATACTTGTCTGTTTAATTACAAATAAAAAGGTTGTTTGGCTTTTTAAATAATATGAATGGTGATTTAAAAGTTGGATAGGAGAGTAGAGGCTGATGAAGAAAATTGAAAGTTTGAATAGGAAAAAAAATCACTACCCAGATATAACTACAGTTATATTTTGATACATTTTAAAAACACTTTTTCTAACTTATTTTTAAATGTACTTAACATCCTATATCATGTACAATTATACAATTGACATAATCTTTACTTTATACTATATAATAAAAGCCTAATATGCTAAATGTCCGACGGTTCAACTGTTCGACCAGTTGCTATGATGTGCACTGACCACCAGGAGGCAGATGCTCTAAGCAGTAAGTTAGCTTGCTGCTGGGGTACAGCCGATCAGGACTAGGTGAGAAGGGCTGGACACACCCTGGAGCCCTCCTGTGGTTTCTTCCCGGCCCCGATTGTGCACCTTTGGGGTCTCAGCCTGGCCTGCACCCTGTTGCAATCTGGGACCCCTTGGGGGATGTCAGAGAGCTGGTTTTGGCTCAATCCTCTCAGGCCAGGCCGAGGGACCCCACTGGTGCACAAATCCATGCACCAGGCCTCTAGTATAAAATATAAAGTAAAGATTATATCATTTCCCATGTCATAGCTTTTTTTGTGTGTAAATATTTAAGAGTTGGATAACATGCCATTGTGTTCATATATCTTCCTTTAAATGCCCAACAATAGGTAAATGGTTAAGTATATTGGTTCTTGGTTTTTACTCTTTTATATTTTAATATTGTGAATGCCATTGTGCCTAAATCTTTACATTTTATTTTATTTTTTTTAAAAAATATATTTTATTGATTTTTTTACAGAGAGGAAGGGAGAGAGATAGAGAGTTAGAAACATCGATGAGAGAGAAACATTGATCAGCTGCCTCCTGCACATCTCCCACTGGGGTTGTGCCCACAACCCAGGTACATGTCCCTGACCGGAATCAAACCCGGGACCCTTCAGTCCGCAGGCCGATGCTCCATCCACTGAGCCAAACCAGTTTCGGCAAAATCTTTACATTTTAGATTACTTCTTTCTTTTGTAATTATTTGTTGATGCCATTTGCCTATTTATCTAGTAGATATCTCAAGGGTGTTTTAGAAAAACTTATATATATAAAAATTTATATATATATATATATTTGCTGGGTTGCTAAATCTATTGCATGTTCCCTTGGTAAATTTTTAACTTTTTAAGCTTAGAACATCCTTCCTTATTTAGAACCCATAAGAATAGTAAGTGTAAAATCTCAAGATATGTAAAGGCACCCTGGTGGTGTTGTTAAATGGTTAGAGCATCAACTCCCACACTGAAGGGTTGTGGTTCAATTCCCAGTCAAGGGCACATATCTGGGTTGCAGGTTTGATTCCTGGCCCAGGTCCAGAGGCATGTGGGAGACAACTAATCAATGTGTCTCTCTCACATCAATGTTTCTCTGTCTCTTCCCTTCCTTTCCCTCTTCTTTCCCTTCCTCCCTTCCACTCTCTCTAAAAATCAGTGGGAAACCCTAGCCGGTTTTGCTCAGTGGCTAGAATGTCGGCCTGGGAAATGAAGGGGCCTGGGTTTGATTCTGGTCAAGGGTACATGCCCTGGTTGTGGGCTCGATCCCCAGTTTGCTGTGTGCATGAGGCAGCCAATCAATTATTCTCTCTCATCATTGATGTTTCTATCTCTCTCTCCCTTTCCCTTCCTCTCTGAAATCAATAAAAAATATTAAAAAAATAAAAATCAATGGAAAAAATATCTTTGGTGAGGATTAAGAAAACAAACAAATAAGAGATATAAAAAGATAACAATATTTATTTATCTGATATGGATTTCAATATGTGTCAGAGCTATACATTGACTTTGGTTTTATTCCTTTCCAATAACCAGCTAATTTTTTTCTTGGTAAGATAACTTGCTTTTGTACATATATTATGTATAAAACTATATAGATAGTCTTAATTCATTCTTCACCAATTACACAATAGGTGCTTAATTTATGTTGTCAAAAGAAACCTCTTAATGGAATTTGAGTCCTTGGTTCAGTTGTTCCTAATGCTTATCTGTATCCTGCTGTTTGGTTTCCATGAGATGTTTTCATTTTGCCTTATAATAAATTTCCCTTATTACATAAGCTAGCTTGGTTTCTGCCCGTTGTAAGCAGAAGTGCTGAGTGACATGGATCATGAGACCTAAGGAGGACTGCTCGGTTCTAACTCATTCTGGCTTATTTCAGAGGGAGTGCCTGTCCATTCACGTGGGCCAAGCTGGCATCCAGATTGGGGATGCTTGCTGGGAACTGTATTGCCTGGAACACGGAATCCATCCAGATGGTTTTATTCTTGACAATAGAAAGGATCAGTTGGAAATTGCTAAAACAGAGCATATGGATACCTCTTTCAATACCTTCTTTTGCGAGACAAGAGCTGGGAAGCATGTGCCCAGAGCACTCTTCATTGACCTAGAGCCAACTGTTATAGGTAAGGTTTTACATTCCAGTGTGCTTAACCAGGGTCATAATCAAAGCAAACAAATCAAGTATCAGTGGGTAGGACTGGCAGATTTTACAGTCTACCTGAACAGGAAGGCTCAAGCGATCTTTCAACAACTCCATTAGGAAATGTGGTTGTCATCCTCGATTTATGGATGAGGAAACTGTGTCTTGGGAAGGTTATAGAATTTGCCTTAGTTAGATCACTGAGAATAATTGTCTTTTTTAAAAAATATATATATTTTATTGGTTTTTTACAGAGAGGAAGGGAGAGGAATAGAGAGTTAGAAACATCAATGAGAGAGAAACATTGATCAGCTGCCTCCTGCACACCCCCTACTGCGGTTGTGCCTGCAACCAACCAAGGTACATGCCCTTAACTGGAATTGAACCTGGGACCCTTCAGTCCGCAGTCCGACGCTCTATCCACTGAGCCAAACCGGTCAGGGCGAGAATAATCATCTTTGTTTCCAGGTATGACTTCTTATAAGAGCCATTATATTTTAATAGAAAACCAGCATAATTGAGTGCAGAAGAAAATATAAATAATTAATACAACACTAATAAATGTATTAAGTTAAGCCATACAAAATTGCCAATGGATGATTTTTTTTTACCTAAAAAAATGTCAGTTTCATATGATACAACCTCATAATAGAAATTTCTGCAAGGTACAGCAGTATTACTGAAGCAGAATAAGTAACTGGGGAGTCATCAAAGCTCTCCTCCCGGGGAACAACATTTGCAAATTCACCGAGGCATGGAGGAACATGCAAGTTTAACAGGAGTTCAGTGTGGCTGGAACTCCCAGTATGAGAGGGAAAATGTGGGAGAGAAGACTAGGAAGATAGTTGGGGCTAGGTCATCAGCTTAGGTAGGGGGAAGTAAGGAGGTATGGTCATGGAAAAGATTTTGCAAGTTTAAGATTTGGCGGGAGACAGTTGTGAGTGATGGTGATTTAAGTGGAGTGGAGCTGAATGGCACTGGGGGAAAGGAAGCAAAGGAATCATCAAATAATTGTGTTTTAAAACCATGGAAGTCACAGAGGATTCTGGGCCAGGTACGTAAGTCTCTTATCAATGTGAAAAGTTCCAGAAAGTTGAGTGGACAGTTTTAATGGTACTGTAATCACTGATTTACAAGAAAGTGGATTTCACTGAAATAATTTATGGAACTAATAGTTTCAAGATCTCAACTGGACATTATCATGAAGAAGCAGGCTTTCATAAATTCCATAAACTCCCTCCTTAGACTGAACTCAGCCTTAGAGCTTCAGGTGAGAAGCAGAGTCTACCCAGAATTAGTTTCCTGCTTATGTCTTATTTATAAATATAACTTTAAAAAACCGCAACTTTGATAGGTTTTTTTTTTGTGTGTGTGTATATGTCAGTTAAAAGTCATTTAAACTCAAAATTAGTAAATTTCAACATTTGGGGGTGTACAAAATTCATGGTCATATCATATACAGGAGAGCAAGACAATCTGAGAGAATAATCTTGCTCTTAGAAAATTAGTGCATTTCCTTGTAGTCAGTGAGCTTCTGTGACTATCTATGAATACCTGGTGCCAAGGCATGATGTGTAATAAGATAAATCTGAATAAATGCATGTCATGAAGCCAATTTTATCATTATTATTTATAATTCTTATTATATGGTCCATGCATCATGCTCTATGATCTCATTTAATACTCATAATAACTCAGTGGATAGGTCTTGTTATTATCCTTATTTGTGAAGTGAAATAATAACTGAGGCCTAGAGACAAAAGTACCTGCTCTATAGCTAAGTGAGGAAGGCAATATAGGAACAAAGGAAATTAATTCTTGAACTCATGTTCTTCACTACTATGGAATGCAGCACCCAACTATATCCAGGGCAACATTCCAAAAGCCTACTTAACCTTCAAACACCACTGTATAATTCTTTAGTAGTCACGCTATTTGGGTAATTCTAAGGTAGGGATGTGGGACATGGGCCTCCAACATGCTGTGTTTCTCCAGCTGCCCAGGGTTTTTAAAGGCAATGAAACCAGGCAAGGTTTGCACCTGGTTGTATTGAATACTGCCAACATCTTACCATTGATTTCCCTGCCTCATGCATTTATATTAACTGCATTTGAGTCATTTGAGCCACACCTTCTTTGTTAAAGTCTCTTTAAATTATACTAATAAAAATTTAAATTGGTATCCTCTTCCATGCTTTTCAAGGACAGTGTTGGCTCTTTGTGGCTAGAAATACTTGTTTTAAAATGCCAAAGTGCCACAGGGTGTGGGATGGGTCGAATAGTATCTCCTAAAAATCTACATCCACTCAGAATCACAGAATATGACTTTGTTTAGAAATAGGGACCATGCAGATGTACTTTGTTCAGATGAGTTCATACTGGATTAGGAAAGGCCCTAGTCCAATGATCCATGTCCTTAGAAGAAGAGTGGACCCCCAGGGAAAAGGGCATGCGCAATGGAGGCAGATAGTGGAGTGATGCAGTGGCCACTAACTCCAGAAACTGTCAGCAGCTATCAGAACCAGGAGACAAATGCAGAACAGATTCTCCCTCAGAACCTCCCAAATGAACCAACTTTACTAACACCTTGATTTTAGACTGCTGGCCTCCGAATAAATTTCTATTGTTTTAAGCCACCCAGTCTATTGTAAGTTGTCATGGTAACTCTAAGAAATGAATAGAGAATATATGATGGAAAAGCAAACTTTCAATTGGTGTGGAAATAGTTATACCTTTTCCTAGATTAAGGAAGGCCCAGTCAGCAGTTTAAATCCATTGCTTTACCACAACATTGGGGAAGAAGGGAGGTTCATGGTCCAGGGTTGTATGAGAATTAGCAGAGGGCTAGCAGTTGATGGAGTGGAATGACTGACCTGCTTTTCCCTCTGCAGATGGGATTCGAACAGGCAAGCACCGCTCTCTCTTTCACCCAGAGCAGCTTGTTAGCGGGAAGGAGGATGCTGCAAACAACTATGCCCGAGGACACTACTCTCTGGGGCCAGAGATCATCAACCTTGTGCTAGAGAGAATCCGAAAGCTGGCAAGTGGCTCTCTTCTCAGCAGGTTGGGGGAAGTGTGCCTGAGTGCCTGGGATTCTGTGAAACACCTCCCAAGCATCAATAGCAGTTCTACCATCAACACCATCATCACCCAACCTCTCTTCTCCAAACCTCTTGCCATGCTCAGAGCTGGGAAGTGTCCCGATGTGGGCTTTGATTACACTTTGTTAAGGAGGAAAGGCCACAGAAGCCTTTGCACTTTCTGTACAGCCCCATTTTCTTCTTTTTTGTTTAGATTTATTGAGGAAATGTTTTACTTTATTTTCCTCCTACTTTATTGAAATATAATCTCTCTATATAAAAGCCTAAGTGACCAGTCAACCAGTAGGTATGATTCACACTGACCATCAGGGGGCAGACACTCAATGCAGGAGCTGCCCCCTGGTGGTCAGTGTGCTCCTTCAGTGGGGCCAGACCCTGGGCTCATGGCTGGTGAGTGCAGCTGAGGCTGTACGAGCCTCTCCTGCAGACACTTCCTCTGTGGGCCCCTCCCCCATCTGGACCAGGACCAGGATCAGGACTGGCAGGGATTAGGACTGGCATCAGGACTGACTAGGCGTGAGCCTATGGCTGCTTCTTGGTCATAGGTCATAGGCATGCCAGACCACAGTGGAGTGGCAGCGAGCCTACCGAGCTATGGCAGTGGCGCCAGGTACAGTGGGGCCTGGATGAGCAGGAGCGGCGTGGCACCCAGCCAGGGCTTGGGCTCCTCCCCCGGCCACCTGCCGCTTTGGCACTACTACATCCCTCAGGGGATGTAGGACTGTTGGTTTTGGCTGATCCCTGCAGGCCAGGCTGAGGGACCCCCACCTGTGCATGAATCTGTGCCCCGGGCCTCTAGTTGACATATAACATTGTGTAAATTTAAGGTGCACATATGATAGATATGATACACATATATGTTGCAAAATGATTACCACAATAGGTTTACACCTCCATCCCCTCACCTACTTAACTTTGATAAATTTTGTCATGACAACACTTAAGATCTACTCTCTTAGCAACTTTCAAGTAAACAACAACTATTATCACCATGCTGGACATTAGAGTCCCAGATCTTGAATTTATCTTATAACTGAAAATTTCTACCGTTTAACCAAAATCTCCCCAATTTTTCCCACCTCCTAGAGCTTGGCAACCACTATTCCACTCTCTGTTTCTACAAGTTTTACTTTTTTAGATTCCATATATGAGTGAAATGATACACTACTTGTCTTTCTCTGATTGACTTATCCTACTTAGCATATGTAAAATTAACAGAGGCACATTCTACCTGAAGATTAGTTACTCTATTTACTGACAGTTAATTCTTTAAGGACTTGTGTCTGGAGAACCTTTGTCGAGGAAATATTTTGGCATTTGCCATAACATTAGGTAATACAGTGCCTTTACACCAGCCCAGTAGTCTGGGCATAGAAATGATAGGCACTTCATCTACTATTGGGGAAAATATATTGCTTCAATGTTTTGCTAATCATTTTCATTGCTATTGATAAAGACCCTACTTTAGATCACATACAGATATATTCATGGAGGGCAATGCAAAACTGGGATATTTATCCTTTTCTTATAGTAAGTCTCTAAAGTGCTTTGCCACCCCAGAAGTAACCACTCAAGTATGTTTCAAAGTAAATGTTTTTGTAGAGTTGATAATGGTAAATCAGTTCTTTCTGAAAGTTTTGGTTTGTTTTGGGAACTTGTGTCCCACCATTACCACGGCTTCTGGCTTTATTTGGCTGAGTTCCTACATCTTGTTTTCTTTCCCAGGCAGAACAGTGCAGTGGACTACAGGGATTTTTGATTTTCCGAAGCCTTGGAGGAGGCACTGGATCAGGATTTACATCTCTCTTAATGGAGCATCTCTCGATACAATATGGCAGGAAGACTAAATTGGAGTTCTCTGTCTATCCAGCCCCCAGGATCTCCACTGCTGTAGTAGAACCTTACAACTCCATCCTTACCACCCATTTCACATTAGAGCACTCGGACTGTACCTTCATGGTGGACAATGAGGCCCTCTATGACATATGCCATCATAAACTTGGTGTTGAACGCCCCTCTTACACCATCATTAATAGGCTGATAGGTCAGGCAGTATCTTCCATTACTGCTTCCCTCAGGTTTGAAGGGCCCTTGAATGTGGACCTAAATGAATTCCAGACCAACCTAGTACCTTATCCGAGAATTCATTTCCCTATGACAGCCTTTGCCCCCATCATTTCTGCTGACAATGCCTACCACAAGGACTTCTCTGTGGCAGATATCACCACTGCTTGCTTTGAGGTCTCCAACCAGCTGGTTAAGTGTGATCCTCGACTGGGGAAGTACATGGCCTGCTGCCTACTCTATAGAGGGGATGTGGTCCCTAAGGATGTCAACGCAGCAATTGCAGCCATGAAGTCAAGGAACTCTGTTCAGTTTGTAGATTGGTGTCCAACTGGTTTCAAGGTGGGCATCAACAGTCAACCACCCATGACGATGCCCGGGGGGGAAATGGCCAAGGTCCAGCAGGCTGTCTGCATGCTGAGCAACACCACAGCAGTTGTAGAGGCCTGGGCCCGCTTGAATCACAAGTTTGATCTCATGTATGCCAAGAAGGCATTTCTACATTGGTACATCAGAGAAGGCATGGAAGAAGAGGAGTTTTCAGAGGCCAGGAAAGACCTGGCATGTCTGGAGAAGGATTATGAGGAGGTGGGGCAAAGTTTCTGAGGTATATGTGATGGTGAAAATAATGTTAAATGCCATGCTTACTTTATAAGACATTTTACAGTTGGTGGGTAGAGTTGCTTTGATTAGAAGAAGAAAGAAATCGAATGAAGCAAGAACATAAGTTCCACACTAAATTAAATCAGCCAATATTAACAATGAGAACATCTTTTCTTGTCTGTTAGCATAATTCAGCACTGCTACCTGTGGACCTTCTAAGCTTTGGAGTCCTTTCTGGGTCGTGTCATTTGTGTGTTTGTATGTGTGTTTTGTCAGAGTGGAAGCCTGGCTATATATTTTTTGCTTTTTAACCATGACACTATGAAGCACCAAAGTTAATGCTTTCCCTATCCTATACCTGAGGTGAAAAACAGAAAAATATTGATTATTAATGTTATCCATGTCTATATTTTGTACTTTGATTAAATTATGAACATTTTCAGTATAATTCTTTTTCTTCCAAATGTGGCCTTAAAGTCTCAGTTTGCTTTTTATACAAACAAACAAACAGGAATATTCTTGGGTCTTTCATAAATTTGAATCTGTGTGTCCTGTTGGTCAGAGGGTGAAAGTGATCTCTTTTCCATTTTCCTTCCTTGAGGAGGTATTCTCAAAGTGTGGCTGCAGAACCCTGCACAGAACCATTCCACAAGTTTAGAAAAAAAAGGCAAATTCTTGACCAGCACTGCAGACTTGCTAAATGAGAAGCCCTGGGGATTGGAGGGGATGTGACTTGAGGATTTGAAGTTTAAAAAAAAAAAGACTTAATAGAATTAATTTTTGGTATTTTAAACAGTGTTACTGTTTAGTAGTAACCCATTTTCAAATGAGTATTAATTTAAAATGGACAAAATAGCTATAAATGCATTAAAATCACTAGCTGGATTTTTAGAAGCCATGTTGTATAGCCTAATAGTTAGAATTAAGGTGAACTAGATACTGCAAAGATTTTCCCTCAGTCTTAGTCTTCGTCCTGTCTTGGCATAACCATACTTCCACCTGGCATCATTTTCCTTCTGACAAAATAACTCTGTTTACTCTTTAAATGTGTATCTAGGGTTGAGAGGGTATATTTGCCCTTTCTTCCTCAGAGAGTGAGATCACCTGAGCTAATGATTGAAATAACTCTGAGGAGTATAAGCACTAATTAAATGTGATCTTGAGGCAGGGTCTGTCTTATTCATCTGAGTCTCTACAGTGACAGGTATAGAGTCAGTACTCAATAATTATTAGATTGAAAAACACCAGGAGATCACCTTATATCCTACTTCATATAAATCACATCTATTTGACTTTAACTTTTTATGTTCCTCTTTGATCTCCCCTTAAAAATTACTTTGAATCTTCACATATCCTCTTATCCCAGAGGAAAGACTTCTTCTTTCCAAGGTCACTTATGATTTGTGTACCTTCTCCCCTTGACTGCTCTAGGAGACCTTGTTTCTTCAACCCCCTGCATAGTCTGTCTCTCTCCATTGACTTTTTTTCTTCTTTCTACTTGTATGTCGAGGTCTCCTCATTCCAACATTCAACACTCTTTTCTGGATTCTATTACTTTTAAAATTTACTGTCACATGTTTGCACTCTATCAAACTTTTCAAAGAAATATACATTTGATGCGTATACCTCATCTTCTGCTCACTCCTTAGCCTTTGTGATTTAGTGAACTCCCATTATTCTACTGAAACTATTGTTTTGAAGATCATTGATCATACTAGATTTATCAAAACAATGACTTTATCAGTTTCAGATTTCTTGAGTTTAAGCATTTGGTAATTTTTGTTCCTTGAAACTTTTCCTTTGCCTCCTGTAGCACTACTTGGTTCTCCTCCTCAGATTCCTTTTTTCCATTGTCTGTCCCTAATGGAGATACCCTTGGTCCTTTTCCCTGGTCTTTATTTTATTCACAATCATATCAAGTCTATATGGATGACTGAGAAACTCTATGTTTCCATTCTCTCTTGAGTTTTTTTGTTTTGTTTTTTGGGGTTTTTTTTTTTTTTTGCTAATTCTCACTTGAGGATATTTTTCCATTGATTTTTTTAAAAGAGGGAGTGAAAGGGAGGGGGAGAGACAGAGAGAGAAACATCAGTGTGAGAGAGATACTTTGATTGGTTGCCTCCAACACAAGCCCCAACCAGGGCCGGTGATTGAACCTGCAACCGAGGTACATGCCCTTGACCAGAATCAAACCCAGGACCCTTAAGTCTGCAGGCCAAAGCTCTATCCACTGAGCCAAACAGGATAGGGCCTCTCTTGAGTTTGATACTAGAACTTTCACCAGATATGCTGGACGTATCCTTCCAGATGTTATGCCTATGCTTAAATTTAACTTCTTTCAAGAAAAACATAAATTTCCTCCAAAGAAATCTGCTCTTCCTTTGGTGTTCTGTCTTGTTTATTTATGTTATCATCTCCTCACTTAAGCAGAGTTTAACATTTTTGACTGCTCCCTCCTGCTCCCTACATCCTAGAATTAAGTCCTATCAATTCTGCTTTATAATGTTTTCAGAATCCCTTGTCTTTTCTTCTTGTTAATTCCATCCTAGCTCAGGTCATCAACTCCTCTCTTTGTCCCCAGCACAGCTGGCATGGCCCAGTGGTTGAACATCGACTTATTGAACCAGTAGTCACGGTTTGATTCCCAGTCAGGGCACATGCCCAGGTTGTGGGCTTGATCCCCAGTGTGGTATGTACGTGAGTCATATCAGTGATACCCTCTCATCCTTGATGTTTCTCTCTATCTCTCCTTCTCCCCCCATCTCTGAAATCAATAAAAATGTGTTAAAAAATAAATGCTTTCTGCCTCTCACTTTGTCTTCTTGATCTATCCTACTCATTACTCTGTGACTGTTCTGCTGCACAGCTTAGATTATTCTGCTCCCTATACAAAGCTTTGATAATTCCCCATTGTCTTAGGCATAAAGTGTAAACTCCTGCATGTTACATGCAGAGCCTGTCACCACTAGTTGCAGCTAAAATTTAAAATCCCAACCTCTACTTTGCTGTCATACATTCACACTAGACTCTCACCACTCCTCAGCACAGATTCTCTTTTCTCTCTCCTATACCTTGGCTCCTTCTCCTTGCTGTCTCTCTTACTTCCTCTGTGACAATTGAATGTAATTTCTATTACAAATCCAGTTCAGATGTCACCTGTTCCATGTAGCTGCTTGGGACTCTTCTTCCTTGTGCCCCTTCCAGCTACCAGATTGATCTGTAGTATTCACTTACTTCTACCTCAGGATTCAGGGATGGTTGGGGTACATTAAGAAATCTCACTGTACAGGGTGGGGAAAAATTAGGTGTACAGTTATGGGTACACAAAACAGTTTATTTTATTATTATTTATTAATGATGGTATTATTTTCCATATGAATAGCTGTAAGCCTATGGAAGTGTGCCACACCGTGTATTGCAGCAAGTACTCAGTGATGAAACTTTTTTCCATGTGCATATTCTGCTTTGAACTTTTATTAGGCTCTTACTAAGTACTTAAAAAAAATTTTTTTTAAAATTTTTGTATATGTATTGTTCCCCCCTTCAGACACTGGAGGGCACTGGTGAAATGCTTAAAATAACTGCTCAGTTGCTCAAATGAGTATTGATGTTCTGGACGGCATTTGTATGTGTGTGCATGCATGTGTGTGCATTCTCATACCCAGAAAAGACCATTAGGGGTGGGGAGGATGACAGGTTTTTCTACTGTCTTAAAATTTAATAATCAACTAAAATTAAGATAAAGCAACAAATTATTTTGTAAAATTTTAAGTTCAGCTTGTGAATCTCATTATTTCTAAGTCTAGAAAACTTAAATAATCACTTTTAAAGGAAATAGATATGCCTTTTTGGTCTCCTTTGCATTCTCAGATACACATTCTAATCCTGTCTAATAAAGAAGGAATATGCTAATTGACCCTCACACCATCGCAAAGATGGCGGTGCCCACAGCCAATAAGGAGGGAATATGCTTATTGACTGTCCTGCCTTCAAAGATGGCAGCGCCCACAGCCAATAAGGAGAGAATATGCTAATTGACTGCCCCAACCTCAAAGATGGCAGCACCCAGTCCCCTTGGCCCTGCTGGGGTGGCAGGCACACAGCAAGGCCAGGCCTGCCCCCAAGCAGGCCCGGGCACTCCATGTGCCTGCGTCTGGAGACCCCCAGTCCCCTCAGCCCCCCAGCCACCCAGGGCCACCCAAGGCTCAGGTAACCAGGGCCGGCTGAGGCTTGCGCTGCTGGCAGTGGCAGCAGCAGAGGTGTGATGGGGAGTCACCTTCCCCTGATTGCCGGGTCCCCTCCCACCCCTGAGGGCTCCTGGAGTTTGAGAGAGGGCATGAATTTTCATGCACCAGGCCTCTAGTATATTTCATATTTCCTTTATAAATTTGATATATTTTCTTTTCTCTTAAAGACTAATTGTCTGACAAATTTTCTCAAGTGACCTATTTAGATCATTGCTTATTTCTCTTTTGGGTTTTTTCTTTTCTTCTCAATTTTTAGTAGCTCTTTATAAATTTGATCAATAAGCCATTTGTCTCTTATATGAGTGGCAAACATTTTTCTAAATTTGTCATTCATTTGTGTTTTTATTTTGCTGTTGCTGCTGGTGGTAGTGTCAACTGCTGGTGTGTGTGTGTATGGGTTGTTTACTTCACTATGTAGAAATTCAATTTACATATTTTTGACTTATCACCATGCAGAAGTGAGTGGAACCACAGTTCCTCTCTGGGAAACTGCCTCTTAGGCTTTGCTGGAGGAGGCTATCAGAGTTCTTCCTGATGTCTGTTGTTAGTGGACTTTTACTCATATTAAACCCCTCATCTCTGAATTCCTCATATATTCTTCACACTAATTGCTATCACTTTGCAATTCATCACTTACATATTCCCTGGTGGTATTTGCTTTTAATTCCATTTTGGTTTTGTCTATTTGCTTAGATGTTGACTCGTGGAGAGCAGCGGCCTTGCCTCAAACATCAGCATCTCCCAGGTGCTTAGCACCATGCTGGGCAGTTACCGTGGGTTCCGTGAGCACATATGAAAGGCTTCCCAGCCCTATGCACTAGCAGGCCATGAGGATGTGGGGTGTCCCATCGGGGATACTGAAAGCTCCTTCTCCTGTAGAGCCCAGGTATCATCCTGGCAGCAGATCCCTGCTGGATATACCCTTTGGGTGGGATCAAGCCATCGAGATGGCTCTAGGTTGAATGATAGCTGACAGAATCCTGTCAGTTTGATCTTTCCCAAGCTCTTCTTTACTCTACCTATGACACCCAAGAACCATTCCCATCTGGGAGAGATGGGGAATTGACTTATCTATATCCTCCCTCATTTGCCTTCCCTTTTTGAGTTCAGAGGAACTGACACAAGCCAAAGGTTCAAGAAGTCACTTGATTTAATGGAAGCGAGAGGGTAGGGTAGGGATCTAGTGGCAGGATGGTAATCAGTGTGTCTCTTAATCTTCCAGCCTTGGCTGGGGTTGCTGTGTGAAGAGAGGAGCCCTAGGTGCCCTCTTCTCAGGCCTGGGATCTTCGGGGAGAAGTGTGGGGAAAGAGAAAAAGTGACACAGAACATAGGGAGAGGCCTTAATAGCTTCATATTTGTGAAGTTGGGACAATTCTGCATGCCTGTGTATTGTATAGAGAAAGCTGGGCTGGAGCTAGGAAAGGATCAGAGGGGTTGAGCAGTGAGGCGGCCTGTAAAACTGGACTGCCCACAAAATAAAAACCAGTTGGGTGGGCAACTTCTTACCCTCCACCTGACCTCCATCCTTGTCCTTAATGGGCTGCCTTGCTGTCCTCAATTCTACTTCTTTCGTCCAATCTGTGCCATCAGATGGGCATTGGCAGCTGCCTTGGCTCTCAAGTTCTTGGCCTTGGCAATGTTTAAGAGGACATTCATGACATTAGTGGGGACATCAAGGGATAGAGTGAACTTGGTGTGCCGGTCACTCTTGGCCTTGTTCTGGTACAGCTTCCCTTTGAGCTGTGCTTGGGATAAGTACTTGTACCGAGAGCTCCCAGCTCCACCACTGCCCCTAGGAGCCGAGAAGGCCCTTTTCTTCTTGTCTTCTCCCTCCTCATCCTTTTCTTTGTCCTCATCTGAGGATGGGTCCTGGCTGGGTAGGTAGGGGAAGCCTCTCTTGCTCAGCAGGGGTATATCCTCCAGCTGGTTCTTCTTGGCCTCAGACAGGGCCATGTTGATACAGCAGAAGATGGACTCGGCTTTGGAGAACTTATGGGACAGACTCATCCTGGGGGCCCCTTGGAGCAGCAGCAGCAGCAGCAGCAGGAAGTGGGCTGGCACAAGCATCTCTCCCTGTGGTAGAAATGAGGGAAATGGGAAGGGGCGTGAGAGGGGCTCAAGACTCAGAAGGACATGGGGTTTTGTCCACGCCTTGCTTACTAAAATGGTTCTCTCCACCCACAGCAGCACCTGGACATTTATTAGAAATGTAAATAATTCTCAGGGGACTGAGTTGCAGATGTCATATTCTCTCTCTCTCTCTCTCTCTCTCTCTCTCTCTCTCTCTCTCTCTCTCTCTCTCTCTTGTTTGCAGGGTAAAGGAAAACAAACTCTCCACACAGAAAAGTCATCATCATCATTTGCTTCCCTACTGACGTCTAATTCCTAAGCAAGTTTCTCCTCTTCTATTCTTTGGGTGCTTTTGCCACCATCTCTAGTGAAACACCACAAACATTTATATTTCTCTGCTACCTGCTATGAAAACAAGCAAGACTTATCTACTTAGATTTAAAGTAGAGGGGTAAAACTCTACATCTATATTTTTCTTGTTTGTATATCTGAAACTCAACCATTCTTTAAGGTTGTTACAGCAGTACCTTCTCTGGGTGATTTAAAGATACACACTTAATTTTGAAATCTGTGACAGAGTCCAGTCCTAGGAACCTGGGCCTGCCTGAAATTCAGAGCATCTCTGAGGGAGAGGGTACTGGAAGGGAAAGACTTTGGGGTACTGGAAGGGAAAGAGCTCCATTATATAGCTGTGCCCCCTGCTAGCTCCATTTTCCAGTGGGGAAGGGGTGGAAAGGATGACAGAGTTATTCCCTATTTTACCCAGTTTGTCTGCAAACACTGTTAAGAAGTTGAATTTAAAAAAATTAAGAATTTAGCCCAGCTATTGTGGCTTGGTGGTTGAGTGTCAACCTATGAACCAGGAGGTCACAGTTCAATTCCTGGTTGGGCACATATCTGGATTGTGGGCTCGATCCCCAGTCGGGGGTGTGCAGGAGGTAGCCAATCAATGATTCTCTATCATTGATATTTCTATCTTTCTCTCCCTCTCCCTTCCTCTGAAATCAATAAAAATATATTTTTTAAAAATGAAAAATTTAAAAACATTTTAGAAAACAGTGTCTGCATAACCTAGGGAAGCTTTAATCATTTTAAAAGGAATAGTAGTGAGTGTAGCAGTAAGCTGTTTTCTTCTTGTAGACTCGTGTTAGTGTTGTGTGACCACAGACAGACACACACACACACACACACACACACACACACACACACACACAGACACCTCTAAGCAGTGCACTCTCAAAGTGAGCAGTGAAGGTTCTATGTGAAAGGCTCTTCCTCCAAAGAGGGGGGAACAGCCAGAGGAAAGATGACATGTTACAGAATTGGCAGAATTTGTTTTATTGCCGTATTATTTAATCTATTTAATCTATTATTGTAGGTGGTGTGTGTGTGTGTGTGTGTGTGTGTGTGTGTGTGTGCGCATGTGTGTGCGTGTGTGTATCTGTGCCTGTTTGCTAGATTGCTATGCTTGAGGAGAAAATTGCAAACAGGATTTCTCAGAAAATTTTGGGCATCAAATGGAGACACCAAACATCCATCTTTATGGTTTTTCCCTTTCACAGGTAGCACCTAGTCCTTGGAGATATCTGTCCCCTTCCTCCAAAGTCCCTAGTGTAGCAAGAGGGAAAGGACTCCAGGTTTTGAAGGCAAAGGACCTGGCCTGGGTTTGAAATTTTCCTCACTTTCTTAATTATCTTGGGTGAAGCTCTTAGTCCACACCCTAAAAAGAAGACATTACCTGCCTCACAGGTGTATTGAGAGAATGAAAGGTGACAGAGGTTAAAGATGATAAACAATAATTGCAAGCATCCTACTGCCTGCAGGGATATTCTGTAGGGATATTCTGTAGTTTCTATCTCCTTTCCCCATTGGTAAACTATTACCAAGGGCCATTTTTCATGTTCATGACTGAATTCTGTTCAGAAAAATAGATTTGTATGAACCCATTCTGCCTTCAATCTATTACCTTTTGCAAAGCCTGTGTGTCTGTATCAACAAAAGGATTATTTTGCCCTTCCCTCCCCACCCTGCTTAGAAACTTCCCCATGGTCTCATATTTAAAACATCGTGGCATGCAGCACTGTCTTTCAATTTTCATGTCTCACGCTTGCCAAGTCCCCAGCACCTCCTGCCTAATTTAGGGCAAATAAATTTATTCTTCATAGAAAAGCCTCTATCCAAAATCTTACCCGAGAATGGACTCCGGAGTGGAGATGCTCAGTGAGGCAGGTGCAGCTTCAGGACCAGGTCTGCCCTGGGAACATCCCCCTGAACTTCTGTCTCTGCTGGGGTTGCCGGCTCCTTTTCTTGTATTGTTTCCTCTCTATGGAGACTGCTCCACTCCCTCGTGTGTGTATGGAGAAGTGACAGATCACAGGGTGGGTCCTAATTCCAGACGTAGTGTCTACACTGGGATGCGATTTCATTTAAAATACAACCAGAAGCAGCTGTCCACGTCATGGATACAGCACGCACTCTGTATCCTTGACCCCTCCTACCTGCCTTTCCTCCCAGCCCTCCCCACCTCTCCCTTCCCCTCCTGCCCTAGCAGCTTGCTTCATTGATAAAAAGAAAAAACACTGTTAAACTGAGAGGCAGTTTCTTTGAAAAGTTTTATTACTGATCTTAGTTCTTACTAATTTCAGGCTTTCTACATCCCCATCATCCTAACCTGACTTTTGGAAATCTAGAGCTAGGACCTGCTTTGAAAACAAATACGGCGGCTTGAGCTTTACCTGTTGTCTTAAAATTCTTGTGGATTCTGACTTGCAGTGTTGTCACACAAACTCAATATATTTGAGCTATCTAAGGGCACATAGGGGCAGGCACAGTATACCCAGAGCTTTTGGTGGCAAAGCACTTGATTTTACCTATTTATTCATCTATTCATTCAATATGGGGGGGGGGGGCTGCTGAGTACTAGGTATTGCCAGGGCCCTCAGGAATTCAATGGGTAACTTGTAGTCCCTGTTCCTACAGGACATTCATAGTTTGGAAAGACATAGAAACAGAGCCTACCTTCAGTGTGGCAAACACCACAGCTCAGAAGGGAGCATCCTGGAGATAGATTCAAGATAGGTGATGTGTGCCAGGAGAGGAGAACATAGGGTTCAGACAGAAAGGAGGTTTGGGTGGAGAGAACCAAGGACCAGAGAGACTGGTGGGCAAGAAGGTGAGAGATAGGTGAGCAGTGGGTGTTGGGAGATTGGTTCATCCTGGGATCTACTCCGAACACCAGTTAGGATTTTATTCCTAAAGCAGAAATTTGGAAAGAGAGACAATAAACATTGGCTTCTTTTCTTGTTTATGGGCACTGTTTCCTTTCAACTTCCTAGAAAACTTCTCCACCTGAGGCCAAAGCTCCACAGGACTAAACAACAGCTTTTTTTCTTTTCTTAATTTTTATTGTTGAAAGTATTACATATGTCCCCTTTCCCCCTATTGGCCTCTTCTAGCCTACTCTACCCCCACCCCCACCAGAGGCCTTCACCACCCTATTGTCTGTGTCCATGGGTTTTGCATATATGCGTACAAGGTCTTTGGTTGATCACTTCCCACCCACGCCTTCCCTTTGAGGTTCAACAGCCTGTTCCATGCTCCTATGTCTCTGGATCTATTTTGTTCATTAGACTAAACAACATCTTGGTGTCGGTGGCTGGTGGCTGTCCTCTGAGTCCACTTGGTATCCTTTTCCAGATAGGCAGACCCATGGGTTCCCACTATACCATCTTGGGGTGGCCTTGGGATTGGCTGATGCTCCCAGGAACTCCCCCATGTGAGTAGGCAGGGTGCCCCCTGGTATGCTTGCAGGCCTGGGCAGTGGTTAAGGCAGCCATCTTAAATGTACATGGGATTAAAACCATAAGAAGCAGTCTATTTGCTTTGTAGCTTGGAACTGGCTCCATCTAATGGAGGATTAGACAGAGTCTTGGAAAGAGGGTGATTAGTGAACAAAAACCACCAGAGTGTCGTTTCCAGTAAATGGTGATTTCCCTTCCCACTCTCTCAGAAGCGTGTGTATGGCATTCTTCTCAGCTTGCACTTTCTCTGACCATGTGAGCTACTGGTCTCTTCTGTGAATTCAGCATCAGAAGGTTGTGTAGGGGTGTAAATAATCTACAGAGGAAGTGGAGAACCAGGATGGGAAGAAAAACTGATTGGCTTTGTAGATGAATTGCAATGGCTTATCTACACTAATAAAAGAGAAACATGGTAATTGGCGTACAACTGCTACCCTTCCCATTGGCTAATCCCCCTGTCACTCACAGAGTAGGGCCAAGATATGCAAATTAACTGGCAGCCAAGATGGCGGCCGGCAGCCAGGCAGCTGATGCGAACAGGGAGGCTTGCTTGCTTCAGTGACGGAGAACTCCAACGTTCCCCGCCTGACTTGCCGGCCTCTCAGCTGCAACTCTAAGCAACTATGTTGCGAATAAAGAAGCTAAAAAAACCCCAGAAACCTGCTTTACTCAGCGGGGCTTCAGCCAGCCGGACCGCAACATTGTATCAAATACAGATGGTAAACAAAGGCCAGAAACCTGTTTTCAGCTGGTGGCTGTCCTCTGAGTCCACTTGGTATCCTTCTCCAGATAGGCAGACCCATGGGGTTGCTTAGAGTTGCAGCTGAGAGGCCGGCAAGTCAGGTGGGGAATGTTGGAGTCCTCCGTCACTGAAGCAAGCAAGCCTCCCTGTTCGCATCAGCTGCCTGGCTGCCGGCCGCCATCTTGGCTGCCAGTTAATTTGCATATCTCAACTGCAAGAGCTAAAGCTGGCCCAGAATAAAAAAAAAGAAAAAAAGAAGCGGTTGGGAGCTTCAGTCCCAGCCTGAAAACAGCCCTCAGCCCCTCAGCCAGACTGTCCAGGCACCCCATTGGGGACCCCCACCCTGAAGGGTGTGTGACCAGCTGCAAACAGCCCTCACCCCTCAGCCAGACTGTCCAGGCACCCCAGTGGGGACCCCCACCCTGAAGGGTGTGTGACCAGCTGCAAACAGCCCT